GTCATTTTAACAAGATTAACGTGGACAGCACTAGTTTAAGTAACCCTCCTAACAGGTAAACAAACAAACCAATCATATAACCTGCTTAGCAGAGGTAAAAAAGCAAGAAAAGGGAACAAGAGGAACACAGCCTTGTACATTTGATTCACACCTGTGGTAGTCAGTGTTGATCCCTTCTCAGAAGATGTGCGGTTTAAACCGTATTTAAACTGCGTGACTCCACGAAGGACGTTGCGCAACTTGGTCCACATGATCAGGCCGCTCTGGTTCCGGCTTGGCCACGGGCTCTCTAAGACAGCCTGCGCAGAACAGATGAAGGATGAGATGGGATTGCTTAATAAATCCCATAAACCAGCATATCAGCAAGATCACACACACACATTTCAGATGTTAAAGTGATAAGCCATATATGTAAACCTTATTGTAGTATCCATATGTGATGGCGTTGGGATGGACTCCAGCTTTCTTCATCTCAACCAGGACTCGCACAGCCATCACAGGCAGACCCCACACGCCGCAGAGCTGCATCACCACTCTGTAACACACCTGACAGCAGACAAACACATGATCATTACTTTATATGTTTTGCATTGTCTATGAAATTCCAAACATCTAAAGAGAAGTGATAATCTAAACATATTCCTACAAAATGTGAACGTACCTCATCCAGTATCTCCACCTCAGTGGTTCTCATCTTTAACAGGATGTTGTACGCCTGCTGCATTGCCCGGGTCTTTGACTTGGCCATCCGTACAGCTGCTGGCAGGCAGATGAACCACAGACTGTAGCAGTGACTGAACAGACAGCGGGCCCACAGAGGCGGGTTGGAGTAGAAACGCTTTGCCATCTTGTATGCGAGCTTGACCTCCTATAGGAGCAGTACGGGCACACGTCAGATGAACACGTTGATAAAGACAAAGGGTGAAGAGCATGGTCAAAGCAGGTATCGTTCCTACTTCTGCTGAGGATGATAGTGTGAGTACGTACTTGCTTTGTCCTCTTTGCTAGTAGTGCAGGGCTGCTGGACAGACTGGCCCCTGCTGCTCTGGTGCTGAGTGCAGGACGTAATTCTCTTGGACGGTCAAATAGATTTAACTGCAGTTTGGGAAACCCTTTATACCTGCAGAATGTAAAGCAAGGAACACTTTTAAACCAGAGTATAGCATCAAGTCAGTTTAACTTGTTGGATATTGATCTGATCAGTTTAGTAACAGAGGGGTTAATGTGTCAGTTGTTAATCAGTTTCAGCTGCTTTGGTGTTAATGACATTAACAACAGGTGAACTAGAGGGACAACAACGAGAAAACCCTAAAAACAGGAATGGTTTTACAGATGGAGGCTACTTCTCTTCTTTTCTGATAGTTTTTTCACTAGTTTTGCATTTAGCTAGGGTCAATGTCACTGCTGTTAGCATGAGGCAATGCATAGACACTATAGAGGTTGCACAGGTAGTTCAACTCCTCCAGGTTGACACATTAATACCACTGGCAGAAAGAGACAGGCAGTTAACTCTAGGAGAGCTGGATAGGGCCACAGAAGGTCCTTAACCCATCAGCAGGAGCGGTATCTGCACCTTGAAGCCCGATTACGTTTGCCATAAAATACCAGAATTAGCAGGTCCACCAGTGGCACCCTGTGCTTTTCACAGATGAGAGCAGATTCACCCTGAGCACACGTGATAGATGTGAAAGGGTCTGACGAAGCCGTGGGGAACATTTTGCTGCCTGTAACATCATTCGGCATGACCAGTTTGGTGGTGGGTCAGTGATGATCTGGGGAGGCATATCAGTGGAGGGACACACAGACCTCTGCAGGCTAGGCAACAACACCCTGAGTGCCATTAGGTATTGAGATGAAATCCTTGGATCCATTGTCTGAACCTACACTGGTGCAGGTGGTCCTGGGTTCCTCCTGGTGCACAGCCTCATGTGGGGAGAGTATGCATGTAGCTCCTGGAGGATGAAGAAATGACTGGCCCCCATACTCGCCTGACCTAAATCCACCTCTGGGACATTATGTTTCAGTCTATCCAACACCACCAGGTTGCACCTCAGACTGTCCAGGAGCTCATCAATGCATCATCCGTTTTCTTATTATGAGCACTCCCCTGACATTCTCAGGCACACATGTAAGCACAAATGGACTCTCCTGCTGCATCATTTTATCACTGTGATTTTTGGGGGTGTCTTGGAATTCAGCCCTCTGTAGACTGATCACATGCCCATATCGGTGTTGACATTCAGCATGATTTTTCCCCTATTGAGCTGTGATGTGTTTTTAAAGTGTTACTATAATTTTGTGGCGTGTACGCTTAAAGCACTACAAGTCTTACGTGTACTGAGGAGCAGGATCCGGTCCATCATCTACTGGAGGCTCAGGAGGCATTACAAAGACTGTGTGCTCACTCTTTTGAGACTCATCCAGCTCCAGCAGTCTTGTGTCCTCGGATGACTCTCCTTCAACCTGCAGAGGGGATCACATCCAGAGATTTAGAAAACAGCACAGACTGTAGACCATTTCCTGTCTGATACCAGTAAATAAACAAGGTTACAAGGATACTCTATAAAGCTTTTGTAATTAAGCAGTAAAGCATGCTTATTTGATTGTGATTAAGTCAGAGGAAAAGCAGGAAAAATCCATGAATGCATTCATCAGATAGGGGGAAATTAAAATATATGAAGAGGAAAAAAAAAAGGTGCAAGGAAATCTGATTACATTAGTAACAATTACCTTGGTGCCCTTGTCGGTGATTTTATCAGAGGGAAAAAGCTGCAAGTAGAGGGAAGAGAGCGAAGGGAACAGAATGAATCAAAGGAAATTATGGCTTCCTTAGACTCCCAGCATACAAATGATACTTTGCCAATGAACCGCTGTAACACAAAGGCCTGTTCCTGGAAGAAACGCTCCAACGGAAGAGAAAAACAAAACAACAAAGACCAGCATGCGTTTTTTACACGCCTGGAGGCAGCATGATGCCGGGATGGTAATCACCTTTTCGACGCAATCGTCAAAAAAGGCCAGGCCTGTGTCCTTGTCGCTGACGAAGGTGCACTCCTCGATGAAGCGGATGAATATCTGGGTCTTGGTGAGCTGGGAGTAGAACTTCTGGTGGGCACGGTCTCTGCTTTTGAGGAACCCTGCAGGAAGGGAAGGAGAGAGTGCGGCGTCAGCTTCACGGTCATCTCAGTTTATGGAATTTATGAATTCAGTGTCACTCGTTAATTTCGTAACTTAGCAAAGAACAAAATTAGACTTGTTACTGCATCTTAAAAGGACAAACATAAGAAGTTTTGTCCTTTTGGCCTCATTATATTAATTATTCCTGAGTGACCCTCATCAAATCAATGTGCAGCTATTTATAAAAGTGTTAAACTATGCGGCGTGAAGAAGATTCTCTTTCACATCATCTAAAATTGATCTTTGAGAGGGGAATTAAATGGAGCCGGGAGCCTATTTCCCAGCAACAAACACTCTTATGGCTGATGAGAAAGGTGATTAATTTCTAAAAACACCTTTAATGGTCTATTTTAAACCATTACAGTACATGGAAGGGAGGGCAGGGAATTGGACTAAAGGGCATATGAATGTGCCCAGCCTCTCAACCACTCGGTCAACCTGACTCCTTGAAACAGAGATGCCAATAAAAGTATGCATGAGTTGAGCCCATCTGAATTAAAGCTGTAAATTATGCAAAGGTTACAGATCCAGGAAGCTATCAACAAATCCATAGTGTTTGGTGAATCACGTGTTTACCTTGTAGGTCATAGAGGGAGTCTGCAGCCGTGGTTTTTTCAGAGGGCGCCTGGGTGATGGGTTTGAGGTAGGAGCGGTAGCCCTTCAGGATGGAGGCCATGAAACGAAGGAAGGCCTCTTGGATTTCCATCTCCAGGGCCGTCCTTTTCTTGTGCCAGGTGAAGTCCGCGTCCATGGGAGTCATGTCGACAGCTGAGCCATCCGGCATCACTGGGCGTAGCGAAACTAAAACAAGCCAGTGTGGTCAGTTTAAATAATTTATATAAATTTCTCAGCTCTCTCCTTTTATAAAGTGTCATTAAATGTACTCTCAATTAATAATAGGTTTATTAATTAGGTCTCCCCACATTTACTTTTCTGTAATAATGCTTGATGATGGAGATAATGTAATGATGCAGAGAGAAAATTATGAGAGTCACAGAACAGTGAGGTTACTAACGCTGTTAGCATTAGCTGTCTGACCAAAACGCCTCAGGTGCTGTCAAAAAGTTCAGACAGGTCTATATAAGCACAGCGTATGAATGATTAGAATCAAATGCATTAACTGTTGCTGTTTTATAATGGAGACTGAGCATGCTCAGTGTGGATTTTGACTAAAGTGTTTACAGTTAAGCTAGCTAGCAAGTACTTTTTATTGCATCAAAAATTTGACATAGTAAAATAATTCTGATATTTTATCAACCGAGCAACCAGAAAAGAAAATATGAAACCGTATTTGTTTTTTTTAAAAAAAAAGGAATAGCATATAGTTCAGATGCTTTTTTCCCATTATATAAAATTTTGTAACTTATTGTTAGCTTTTTTTAAAGGTATAGCTTTATTTTCAGCTTTGGACTATCATATTTACTAAAAGAATACCATGATGCATTTTGTAATTTAAGCTTACAGTGTTCAGGTAAAGATTAAGAACCCTGTCCACGTTAATTGTGGTAACTTGGTATAACAGGTAAGTGATCCAGGTTTTGCTATACAAATAAGATGCTGTTTGTACCAGTGGCCAGCTGGTGGTGCAAGTTGCTTAGTGAGTTAATGAGACTCTTGCAGGGCTTCTTTGGGAGGTTCTTCCAGTTGCTGTGTTTCTTCTCATCTGACCTGTAACATACAAAACCACAACGTTTGTAGACTGGAAAAAAACAAAAGACAGCTGAAAACAAAAATCTGGGAAAGAGTTGTTCAACATAATGAGAGCTGTTAATGTAGAAGACAAAGTGTGTTTTTCTCTAACAAAGCACAACATACAGGTAGATAGTGTTCGTGTCCAGATCCACACAAACAACATCTGGTGGGGGGTCATAAAGGTCAAAGTAGCGGGAGTCCACGCCCACTATAAATGGACACGGCGCGTTGAGGACGCCTGCGAGAGACAGCGGGCACAGGGGGATGTAGGGACACTGCCACTGGAAGGGGAAAATCATCTGGAAGGAGACAAAAGCCAGAATCAGGATTATTACTCCCAAACAGATGTTTTTAAAGGGTTTCCCATGTGTAAAAAAACCCCAAAAACAACCGCAGCATATTTCTTTCCTTACTCACGAGCCCATTTTTTCATATTGCTCCATCCCTCAAGAACATCTATAAGTTGAACACTGAAGGTAAATAAGACAAATTTAGGGGGTCACACTTGCATAACTGATCTACTGTAACAGCTGAAACCTATTTGGGTTGATTTTGAGAATTGTGAAATCCTTACTTTTCTAGAACTGGAGAATAAGCAACTACATTCAGTGAAAAAAAACCTCAAAGTTCAAAAAGCCTGAGTAGTGCCAGAGTTATTTGGATACTACGCTGCCTGCAGGCAGGGACATGTGAGACACTAAGTAATGATCAGCTATGAAAGCAATTTAAAATTGTCACAAGTTTAAAAAGGAAGTCATTAACTTGCGGTTCTAGTCATTCATGACAGGCATTTTCAGCTAAAAGAAAGATGCTTTACTTTAACATTATCTGGACTTCATGGTACTGTGTTGCAACATTATTAGGCAATAAATGGATAAATGGAAACCACCCTTACCAATACTCAATAGGACTACATTATTGAGAGTTGAATATGTTTACAGTATTGATTACAGTGTAGGCGTCACTCGGGCTCCATTACCGATTTTGTGTCTACATGAATAAAAAAAGACGTGCAGTGCTGCTCACATCACTGCTCAGAAACTTGTTCCTCTTCTTGCTGCTGCTTTTCTGGATTAAACTGCTCTACCTGACTCATCTTAATGCTCTTTCATTACAGCCATAAAACATAAGTGAAAGGAAATTAAACTAATAGTTACAGTTCCTCCATGTGGACCATTTGAGCTGTCTTTGACTAATTACTGATACTGTTACATATACAGCATATATCATTTACTAAATGTAGTTTATGTCACTGTGCTGTATCTCTCTCTCCATCTCCTTGTACATGTAAGGCTTGTCTGAGCACCGAGTGCCTAAATAACAAGCTTTGCATTCTGTAAGCTCTTAATTAGTGTTTTTATTTAAGTAAGCAGACAGTTTTCTTCTCTGCAGTTCTGATGAATGTTGACTCGACAATAGTGACTACTACTTATGTCACTTTAAAGGAAAGTGTTGGGTTATCCAAACACAGTGGAGTTAAACTGTGCATCTGCAGCGTGTTATTCATTTAATCCTTTTGCAAATATATTTTTGTTGCTGTGTTCCTTAATGAGATGTTATTGTGCAACACTTTATAGTGCTAACCATATGTTTCTTATCTAAAAAGTTCAGATAAGTCAAGGAAATGCATGTGTCAATGTTTTGCATGTGCAGATTGAAAAGTTAAACAACTGCACAACTGAGACACCACAGCCTGCAGTCATAATGTTGTTTTCTTGACTTTTAATGTGTATGTTTTTCATTTTAATCACATGGTTAATATTAGACCTGATTTTCAAAACAGCCCAGGCAGTGGCTGTGTGGTCGCTTTGCATGTCAGCACTAGGTCAAGCTGATGATTCATTTCTTTCCATACTGACAGCAAAGGCAATGAAACACTGCAGGCAAATATGAGCTAAATGGACTCAATAACAAAGCAAATGCACTGAGGGGAACTCCTGCAGAGGAAAACACACAAATTCAAGTTTCCAGCTTTGCCTAAAAACAGGCAGCTCTTCATTAGAGCCCAATATAGGATTTTTAAGAAGGATACCGATATGTGGTGATTAAAAAATCCAACATTTTGATCTATCGGCAGATGTTATTTTCTTTCAGACACAATGAAAATAAATAGATTTCATTGACATTTTTTTGTGGATGTTTATTCACTCATTTACACTCTGCCTGACTATGCTCGGATCAGCTGGTTCTTTTGTTTTGTGACATTTTAAAAAAGTGCTGCAAACAGGGACGTTTCAGAGTGCCCTCTGGTGGACAAACTAGGCGATGTCAATACTGATAATACAGTTGAAGGGTGTTTCTCTCGTCTCTTGTTTGTTTTTGTTTTCTCTCACCCCATTTTCAGCCATTATAATTGTCGACACTGAGAAATGAACAAAATCCAAATTTTGGCCATTAAGACATTAAAAACTAATCTAAACTGTAATCAGACTAAGCAGGAAAAGCTTTGCTAAAATCCAATCCAGCAAATAAATTATATCTATTTGAGTATATTTGAATACATTTGAGTATGACAATATGAGAGTGCATGTTGGAGCCTACTCACAGCCACCACAGCCTCGGCCACTCCGGTGAGCACAGCGGGTCGGAGCGAGTGCAGCAGGATCTTGCTCTCCAGCAGGACAAAGTGCAGCAGTGTGGCGCAGTTCTCCGAGCCCAGATTCATCAGCAGAGTGCCATAGTCTGCCCCGCTGGCACGGAGGGAGAGAAGAGAGGAGAGGAATGAAGTGATGAGTTCGGACAGGGAACGGAAAGCACAGCGGAAAGAAAAGGAGAAGGAAAAATAAAGGGAAAAGAATTTGGAAACAGAAGGGTTCATTGCTGGGTCTGTAACCAAATGTAACCAGAATTAATCAAATGGGAAACAAGGAAAAGGCAGAAATACAGGCACAGAATCAAAATAACACCATCAACATAAAATGTATTGTTTAACAATCTCGCTGTCTGCTTTAATGCTTCAGCTTGCTAAAGCGGTCTGTTTTCAGATGCTTTTTTTCATAATCTAACAAACCGATCATTTTAAAAGCCTTCATAACCACAACTTAAAACTGACTGCCTTGTGTGCAGTAATTCTGTCTCCTTTAAATCTCTATTGTAGAGACTGCAGCACACATGACTTTGAATATCAATAGCAGCCGGTGCTAGCTTTAACAAAAGCCTGTCAATCACCATTTTTATGAGGTTTCAAGGTTGCATAAGGCAGCGTCCAGAACTACAAAAAGGAAAATAAAGTAGCTGAATTACTCAAATCAGTCGGAAAACAGCAGAAGTAGCAGGAGAAAAAGGCTTTAAAAAAGACGATGATGCAGGAATTAACCGAACATGTTTTTTTTGTAGAGAAATGACTTTGTTATGCATTTATTGAGCAGGCCAAGGTACCTGAGCGGTAAGGGTGTACACACGGGCTGGGAGAGGATCAAAGTGTCGTGTACCGAGAGCTGCAGAGGACATTAAATAACATCAGTAACAGAATAATACAAAAAAAATCCCAACAAATGTTCCCTGAGTACTGCACATGCGGAAACTCAGATTTATTTTGACCAACAGCAAGAGAGAAAAACTCTGACCTGGACCAAGATTCTGGGTCTTTGAGGGGAAGGAAATGAGACATTGTGCATGAAGTGCGAGATGTGCCTGTTGAAGGAAATAATAAAACTCATGTTAGAGGTTTCCTTTTAAAAGGTTGGCATTAAAGTGGCCAATGAATGATTTTGAAAGTTTCCACAGCTGCCAAGTAGTTTCCTACTTTTCAATAGGCAGTGGGTGCGGGCCTGAGACGGAGAACTTGTAGATGAACATCAGGAACTTGCGGAAGGACTCAAAGAAGGGCCAGCGGGAGAGCAGACAGATGCATTTATTGGTGTTCACAGGCCGGTTGGGGATCATCTTCTTCTCCACCGTGGTGAGAAGGCCCAGCTGGATCTTCTGCTTCTCACTCAACAGATCTGCTGGATATGGCTCGTAAAACTGGATGGCTGATCCATACACCTGGCAACAAGAGGTGGACGTTAAAGTGTTTGAAACATTTTGGCTAGGCAGAGAGTTTTAAACACTTAAATTTAAATCTTCCTTTAGTAGCTATGTCTTACCTTTTCACCAGTGGAGATGGTTAAGACAAATGTAGAAAAGACAGGCAGAGGGTCACGAGTGTTCGGTGCCCAGCACTCGATGTTGGCACCCATGGGCAAACAGAACAGAGGTACAGACTCTGACAGAGGGAAAGACTCATAGTCCTCTTCTGGGTAACGAAAGATTAGACCTGGAGCACAGAATAACACACAAACAAATAAATAAAAATCACATGATGAAACAATGTGGTCGTTCAAAGCAAGACACATGGTAACGTTTAAGTTTATTGAATAGTTTGAATAGGTCTTCAAACTTCCAGGCAGGCCTTTAATCCCAGTCTCCCTGCAGGGATTAAACTCCTACCGTTAAGAAAAGGGAGATCAGTATTTTGAAACTCTGATGCTCTTACAGTCAGCAGCCTGTATAATTCATTTTGAGGAAATAAGAAGCTCAACTTGATGTCTGTCACTATGAAAAAACACACACATTCTTCTGGTCATGCATGGACACACACACACATGCGCGCGCGCACAGCAGACGCACCAGAGGGCGTGGCAGGAAGCGCAGTTGTCCGAGATGAATAAACAGCCACTTCACAGGAAAAAGGCCGGCCAGAAGATAAAGCC